TCAGATTCTTTCCTTCCCCTGATGCTCATGGGTAAAAATAATACGAAGCCAAAAGCCACCTGAGCGGACACAGTGCTCTTTCAAGACACTACTCATAGATCAACGTGTCTTCAAGCCTTAGGAGAAAACCCTCAGCACAGCAATTGCAAGGATAGTCTCTTAAGTCTGTCACCTCTCACAAAGAATTAAAAAAATGGAGCAGAGCTCTCAGAGTAAAAATAACCTAACGTGGATAATACCTACATTTTTTCATCTTCTCTCTCCTACATCAGGTTAAGTAGCACCTGACACATCTACAGCTATAAAACACGCTTCTCCCCTCTTGATTATGATTTATTTGGTTTCCTTTGTTTCACTAGAACAAAGATTTTTAAAGTCTCAGTTTCAGCTGGCATAAGATACTTCCAGCAATTCTGCCATTAAAAAAATGTATCTAAGCAAATTACTCTAAAGCCCCTAAGACACTGATGCAAAAAAGCACCACATTCTTAAACAGAGTTAGCTAAGGGCTGATCTCAGCTTCAAAATTAATTTCAGAAGCACTGATGGAGAGAAGCCAAACACAAAAAGCAGTGAAGGTCAGCAGAGCAAGGAAGACAAAGGGTCTTTCCTACAGAGGATCTTCCAGTAAAGCAATTGGGCACTTGATACAGGATGGCCAAAGAAGAAAAGGGTGGAGGAAGAGAGGAAGAAATGGTAGAGATGGAATGAAATCTGCAGAAGTGGCAGCCAGCACCAAAACAGCTCAGCTGGCTGGTGAGGAGTGGAGCCTGAGAAAGCAGAGCTTGTAACAGAATAAGAATATACCGCCAGGGCTGGGAGACAGGTATCTCAAGATTAATTGCTTCAGCTTATGGACAGGATGGGGCAAGAACCAGAGGAGCACAGAACAAGGCCAAGGGGATGCAGCAAAATAAGACTGAGTACCACGTTAGAGACAAATACACCGGTAGCAAAGATCTTGTTAACCAACTTCCAGAGCAACACAGATGTCTTGCTTTTATTCTTACTGCTAATATATTTGTGGAAGGATAAGAAATTAAGCATAACCAAATACTTCCAGTCAATCAGAAACAGCACTGATAGGACTCTGCTTACAGAGATCCTTCTGTGCTCCCCATTTGCTCCCTTACTTCATTCGATATGAGGCTGATTGAGTGACAAGCTTCAGCACTGAAACATCAATTTAAGCGCTTTCACATGCTCACTGCCCACAGATTCAGCCAGGAAGGTTTGAGACAAAGACAATACCTGTGGCCATTTAATAACACACTAAATCAGTATTTGGAACTACAAATAGAGAATACAAGCTTTACATGAGTATGAGTAACAGAATATTTCTAATAAACATTAAGCTTGCTGCAAACTGTGAGGTTCAGTACTTCTCATATATTAATGCCTCATTTAGATTAGCCATGACTGTACCAATATTTATTTCAATTAATTAATTCAATTCATATACCAATGCCCAGATACTTAATTGCTTCTGTTGCCAGCTGGAAATCCTCAGAGTTTAAGTTATTGCTTAGCAAGGGTAAACGTCATTAGTCTTCTAAGCTCAGTTATTTGCATTGCTGAAGTATTCTTCACCACAGCAGAACAGAGCAGCATTGCCTACTCCTGTCGTGTAATTATTTAGATGAGAGGTATTCCAACAAAAGCAGGCAGCAGGAGCTCCTGGAGGACAGCGAAGGCAACAAGACCAACACTCACCTGCAAGGGACAGCTATGCAGAAATCTAACCACACAGATGCAGATCAAACGTGAAGATCCCATCAACTTAACTCCAGTCTTAGGAAGACACAAAAGTCTTTCCTGTCTCACCTCATACAACCACTGGGGTTTTTTATATACATCTTCTCAATCCTTGACTTCTCCTCTACCTTTGTGTGGGCTTCCTTACCCCAGCACTGGCTTCTGATGCTGCTCAAAGCATATCCTACAGAATCAGTCTGAAATACACTGGTTTCAGGCTGCACATGACAGTCAGAAACCACCTGAGAAATCCTGTCTGTCTTCATGATAAGTAATGGAAAGGGTAAATTCACATACAGGTACCACCATATTAATCCCTTTTTGCAAGGTTCCTCATCATCAGAAGTACAAGAAACCTGTTTTGAAATAAAAAGGTTGGTTTTTTTTTTTTTAAGTACTGATAAAAGATGCAGTGCTGCTTCCCACATGTCAGTTGAGAAGAGTTGGGGTATTTACACAAGGCTCTATGCAGATGACAAAGAAATACAAGCCAAATACTCTTTTCCTTTTATTATTGCTCTTCCTCTAACACTGCATCAACTCTTACTTAACCTAGCCCAAAAAGTGTAAAATTTTTTTCAATTGCTTCTTGATTTAGCCTATAACATCTTTAATGCCTTAATGGAAAAGAAAAATAATTATAAGAAAACAAAAAGAGGGAGACATCCTTCATCGTAAAAGAAAACTTCACTGACAGCCTGCAGGAGAGCATCCCTTACTCAAAGGGCAATGGAGTATCTCAGCTTCATTGACAGATCATCCAAGGTTAAGCAGAGTATTAGCAGCACACGTTGCGTGTTAGAGTCATCTGCCATCAAAGGGACAGTAATTCTTCGCAATGCTGACAGAGACACACTCAGGACCTGCCGGACCCCTCAGAGACTAACTGTGCAGCACAGGAGAGTTTCATATCACAACAAAAGCATGGTTGCTTCTCTAACTGAAGGAAAACAAGCATCACAGGTCATCCCTACAACAGACTAACGGCACCAACAACTGGTTACGCAAAGGACCTCCCTAACCTGCTTCCCATTTAAATACCGCTGCAACATTTAATAAATCAAAATCACTTACTAAGTGTAAATACTCAAATGTATACAGATATTTCTCTCTGTAGTACCTAAATTACATTTTCAGTGACACTTGGCTTATTCGATCCCCATGCCCTGGCTACATGTATTACATATTTACCTTTTATAACTAATACAGTAAGTAACAGTAAGTACAATGTAATAACCCAGGATGTCACTACCTGAATAACCCAGAATGTCATTACAAACATTTTTTATTCACCTACGCTTATTCTTAAAACTAATCACTCGATTTATATATTGTGAAAGACAAAAGGAAATCCACAGTTTCTCATCCCTTGTTTATTTAAACACAATGTTAAAATGCCTATTTGAAAGTCTGTTTAAAACTCCTACAGGTGTCAGTATGAAGTATTTTCTACACCAAACATATCAGTTTTGTTTCTCCTCTTATTCAACAGCTGTATGCCAAGTAATTAATTAAAGTAACACCATAAGCCTGGATGTATTTTTACCTTACAGTTACAGACATTGTGGATTTATTTCATGGCTGATATAGGAAAGGAATACTTATATCTGTACAATTCTATTTAGTGCTTTACAAATTTATAAAAGACAAAGGAGGCAGAGCAAGGAAAGAAAAAAAAAAATGTCACAGCAAGCCAACCTCCCCAGATTGATGAGGACTGGGGAGATCACAGACCACACGAGACCAAAGAGGCTGACATCTCCTTTATCTGATTTCTATCAGCGCCCTCAGCTGAGTAACACCAGGCCTGGCCACAGTGCCCAGGAGCCTCCAAGGAACAGCCAAGTACTCCAGGAGCCAAAAATCAGTCCCTAAAATCACCCTGACATAGCACTCCACATACCCTTAGCAGTTCCTTGCTGCAGGAAGCACCTTCCTCCTGATAAAAGGCAAAGCTAACGACTGACAATTTGGCTGTTGTTAAAGGCAGGGGTGAATCTGCTGCAGGAGGAAGATATTAACTCGGTGTCTTTGGGAGAGCTTTACGTAGGACAGGATGTCCTATCTACTTTACAATCACACTGAGGATGTTTTAAATGGAAAAAACCCTCCTCGCTTCCCTGCCTGAAAAGGGGTGTTATCCTGGCCATCCCCACAGAGGCATTCAGGTCCTGCAGGTAAAAAGGCCCTACATAAGTGCAGATTATTAGCAAAATGCAGCATATGATGACACTGTGCTGGATCACTGTGTTCTTCCCCTGCCTGAGCAACTCCTTTTAGCAGACATAGAGGTTTCACAGCTCTAGGAACAGCTAGAACCATTACCATCATCTTCCTCCTGTTACATTAAAATTAGAGCCTTCTAGCCACAACACAGGTGTGCAGAGAGCCAGCAATAAATCACCTAAACACTGGAATGGAAATAAGACAGGTTTTCAGTGAAGACTTTATTTTCGGACTCTGCAGCCACAAGCTTCAGCGACACTGCCAGTGCCACACTACTTCCACATTTTGAGGGAAGAGAAGGGAGTCCTTGATTTACTTCAAATGTGGCATGGGCCAAGGGTTCAGTGAGGGTCACCTCAGGCAAGCACGAATATCCCCTTTCTCCATGCAGTTATGGATACAAGCTTTGAGCTTCGTTGCTCAGAGCAGGTGTGCTCAGACTCTGGCCCTGAAAAACCTCACGAGTCTCGTGTGCAGTTACCTTACCACCAAAGATGGACCCTTCCAAAAAAAAAAAAAAAAGGGGGTGCAAAGATGCACCCTTCTGCTCCTCTGCTATGTTTTGTACGTGAAGCAGTCAGCAGAACACAAAGAAAACCAGAGCAGCATCCCCTGGCCAAGCGTGCTGTCCCTAGCACCCCTCGCAGAAGCTGCAAGCACAACGTTTTCACCCAGGTTGGTAGAGCCAACAGATTTCTCTTTGCACAACACCATAGACCCGTGTAGCACCATCACGTAGGGAGAAGCTGGGCAGCAAACCCCACCAAGGGCAAACAGCCCATGTTGAGGACAGCTACAGAGGAAATCTGTTCAGCCCTGAGCTTTTTCACATCTCTGGCTACTCACAGCAGCAAAGAAGCTCCACAGGGAGTCAGCAACAGCCATTCCTTCCATGCAGCAGAAGCAGGACAAGCAATAACACTTTGCAGATCTTAAACCCATCTGCAGGTACTTACCACAGCACAAAAGCAGCAGGAGCTCTCAGGCAAAAAATAATAATAAAAAAAAAAATATATTACCTCTGCCAAAGGAATCTGGCACTTGCTGTCGCTGCAGTTGTCCCTATGAAAGCCGCCACCACGAGCCTGCGCCTGGTCCTAGGGTGATGTGCTGTCCCATGGTAACGCCGTGAAACAGCAGACAGCCCTGCTGCAACAGGAAGAAATCGAAGGCGAAACATCCTGTCAAATAAGAACAACACATTAGTAAGGTTTCCACTTGTGGACTCTCACTGACCCTCAACCAGATATTTCCTCGCATTTTTAATAAAATAGGAAAAGTTACAGAAAATAACTGTCACAGATGTTTTTTAGCTGTTCCAAAATAGGCATGTAACCTGTCCAATAAATAGCAAATTACAAGTATTGCATATTGGCATACACCTGGCTGACACACCTTGCTGTCACATCCCAACTACTTACTCAGCTGCTCTTACAGCATTTTCCAAATTCCTCTTCAGCCTTTCCCCAGCATGCTTCATTAAGAGCAAATATTTGCATGCTCCCACTCAAGTGCCAAGGCATGGAAGATGCAGATAGATCTTACAAGCAACTACAGCAAATAAGAGCCATTTGGCCAGAGGGACAGACACAGCTGGATTTTAAAAGGCAAATTAAACCAAATAACAAGCAAACCAACCAAACAAAACTCCAACCCAGTCATTTTAAATTTCCTTAAGAAAATCCTACTATTCTTAAATCACTTTTCTAGCTAGCCTGGAGCAAAAACATTTATATTCAACTTTAAGTATAAGGCAAGTTTCAAAGTGTCAAAGCTCAAGGCCTCAGGCCTCAAGCTGTGCCAGAGGAGGTTTAGGTTAGATATTAGGAAAAGCTTCTTCACCGAAAGGGTGGTCAAGCATTGGACCAGGCTGCCCAGGGAAGTGGTTGAGTCTCCATCCCCGGAGGGATTTAAAGGATGGGTAGATGTGGTGCTCGAGGACATGGTATAGTGATGGACTTGGCAGTGACAGGTTAACGGTTGGACTCGATGATCTTAAGGGTCTTTTCCAACCTCAACGATTCTATGATTCTAAAGCTCGTAAAATACAGTCCATACCCCGTTACACACACAACGGTACAGAGACAAATGGGAAAACAGAGCTACAAATCTAAACACTATTACAACAGAGAAATCTCAACCGCAAAAATGTCACCTCATCACACACACCAGCTACAGGAGACAAAGCAATTTTTGCTAGGTCACAAGATTGGAGGTGAAGGGTAAGAGTTCCCTTTGAAAAGAAAGGGTGCTGTATCTTCTAGTGGAAAAAAGGTTTTACTTCTAACAGATACAAATTCAGTTTTTCTATCACGGGGTCAGCCTTAAAAAAAAAGAAATTGGGAGTAGAATGGTAAAAGAGAGAATTCTCAAGGCCAGCAAAAACATTGGAAGCAGAGAGCAGGGAGCAGTGGCCTGATTTTTTCCTTTTGTTCACCGTTCTTGCTGTTCTACTCAAATATTCCCAGCCAGTGAATAACCACAGAATACAAAAATAAGGTCACATCTATTGCTTTGTTTGCTTTTGCAACACAAGATGCCACCGCACTGTTTTGCTAAACCATTATCTTCCAACAATGAGAATCCGGGGACCATTTTGCATAAATGCATCTTACATGTGTGGTGTGTTACCCCATTTCAGCTATAAAGAGTTGAATATATTACTGCCCTTTTCCTCTGATTAAAGCAACACGCAGCTCAGGATTTCATAACACGAACCGGTGACGTGAACTTAGGGAGGGGAAGAGAGGAAGAGGGAGGGAAGACGCACATAAAAATTCAGCAGATAATTTTGAGCGCCAGAGGTCAACATGTTTTAAGTCGAGAGGTGGTGGGGATGCATCTGAAGACTTCACAGCACAATCAAGAAATACATGGTGAAAGAAAAAAATGCACAGATAATGAAAAGACATTAGCAAATTCATTATCGGTGATTTTTCATATCAGATCTAAGGCTTTTGCATGGTCCTGGGGCAGGCGAGACGGGATGGAGCACCAGCAGGTGACGGCAGGCTGGGACGGAGCGGCAATACTGCTCTTGACGGGCAGGGCAAAGCCAAAGGGTGTCTATCCCTTGCCACCCTGGTTTATAGGCAAAGCCCACGAATTCTGCTGCTCGCAGCTGGTGCATCTGAATAGCATGCATTTTAAATTCATCTCTGCACATATTAAAAACCAACTTTGCAGCCGGCATTACCATTTCATTTATTCCTTTAAAAAGAAATAGGCTTAAAATTAAAGTTTTAATGGAATACAGCCAGCCAACGGCACCTATTCTCCAAAGTTCTCCCTCTCTGAACAACAGAAGATTTTGTTATGAAAAACACCCTTTATTGCAAATTTATAATTATTTCTATCCTTCACAAACCTGATGTTCCCATTTCATCTCCAGGGATGAATTTCTGTTACATATGCAGAGAAAAATCTGCAAGTGTTATTTTCACAGAGAAGGTAATGTTGCCCTTACTTGGGTTCCCCGTCCTAATTATAGCTTTATACGCATAAGATGTAATGGATAAGGGAAGTGCTGCCAGTATCATTTAATCAGTCAAAATGAAAATCAAGCCCCACAGTGCTTACTTTTGAGCTTGAAGAGATTTTTACAACATTTCAGATTGGTGGCTTTAGTACTGCATAAATGTTTTCTCTGTCTCAGCCCTAAGAAACACTAAATTATCTGCTGTGTCCAAGTAATCTCCATCCTTGATGGTGCTGGGAGGTTCACCCAGACAGTGCTCACTTGGTAGCAATTGCCCAAGAGAGCCAAAAGCAGGCAGTTCCCATAATAATCCTAACATAAAGAGTATCTTATCTCAGAATAAAAAAAAGCACTTTGGAAACTGAATTTTCCATGCTTTCCATCTGCAATTTTACAATCTCTCTTTTTTTTACAGCAAAAGTGCCGCGATATACAGTACGTTGTGCTAAAAGCTCCAGGCATTTAAGTCAAGATCACTCAAGAAAGCTGATGCTCACTTTTAAAAAGATTAAGAATAAGCATCCTGCCCTAACTGCAGCAATGAAAAGCTTAACACCACAATCTGCAGTAGGATAAGGAATAAAACTGAGATAAAGTCTAAAACTCCCAAGAACTGATGTGATTACAGCTTACAATAAGAAACAACCTCAATTCATGCATGATGTAATGCAGTAATTTTTCTTTTTTTACAAGATACAACAAAGCAGCTCAGAGAAAAAAAAATCTTAACTCTAAAATACTGAAAATAAGGATCAAGCATAAATAATTATCATGATGTTCTAGCAATACCACTACAAGGAATCTGTAGATCGTATTTTTGTTTCTAAGAGACAAACCAGTCTTATCTTAAGAACAGCTCTACAGTTACTTTCAGAAGTTGAATTAATATCCTTGGAAAAAAGAAGTAGATTTTTTTTTTCCCAGAAAAGAATTACATATCTGCTTTTATTTGTGCCACAAGACATGGGTATTATTTTTTTAAGCAGAAGAGTCAACTGACAGACTTGAAGATTTAAAAACAAAGTTTTGTTTACTGTCTGCTACACCAAAACCCACTCCTTGGAAGCCCAAACATTCAAAAAAAAAAAAAAAGAGATCTGATAACCCATCCTGCTACCTGGCTCTTTCTGTCCACTTCGGCACCACATTTTTGTGCTCCAGCTTTGTGGTTTAAGCTGTGTTTCTGCCTCAGCCGCTGCAGCAGCTCTCACTGCCATCAGGTAAGTGCTCAGGGCCCTGCTCTATGGGTACATACCACCGGCAAGTGGTAGCCTAAAGCCTCATATATTTGTAATTTAACACTAAACATGCTACCATCTTTGATGTCCAGGAAACCCACAAACCCATTAAGAAAGTAACACTTCTGATCCGAGACACAACAGGCATCACTCAAACTGAGAACATCCAGATTGCTTTAAAAGAAGAAATGCAAAATTATTTCAACAGCTATATACATTCTTGCTTGATGTGGATATTTTACTTTCCCAAACAATGATCCTCTGTCCACTAACCTGTTTTGCAAGGAAATTGAGAGACAGGCTCTCTGCTTCTCCCCCCTGCCACATCCAGAGCATCACCAGTTCAGCCCTGGATTTTTCAGTGCATATAAGAACTGGCAGGTCCCATCTCTCTTGCATCCTTTTTCAGATACCGAAAGAAAAAGAACAAAAAGACTTGCTCCTGTTTTTCCAGCACCCCAATTAGCTGATGGTTTCAAGACTGAAAGCACTACGTAGCCAGCCCAGGCAAAAGGGACTTCTTCGCACTTGGGTACCCCCCAGCACTGAACTTTTTGTAGTCCTGTTTGGCAATCCAGAGCAGCATCAGTTTTTAAGATAAAACACACTTACAGCAGCTTTTTGATGTCGAAGCTGGCCTCAGCGACACAAGCATGCGAGAGGGAGAACAGTACCTGAATAAGCTGATGGGTGTTTAATTTTTAATCAGAGAAGGGCTCATAGGCACTTTTTATTGGAACAATTTTACGACGACATGGTAAGCTTGTGCATTAGTGCAGAATGTCAATTGTAAATTTAAATGAAAAATATTGTTATGTAGTAAAATCTTGCCAAAAAAAGATTTGCATTTACGAGGCATTGGTTAGGCATAAAGACTTCTGCTGGGACTGGCTGAGATGGTGTCACTAAGAACTGAGAGCGCTTTCTGGAGCCGTATGTTTATTAAAAGGCAAAGTTTGACATTGGCAGAGCACACCAAGACATCCTGACCCAACAGCCACTGTAGGAAAATTCCTCGCCTATCTCCATCTCAGCCCCTGACTGTCAGTCATACCTCACCCCTGCTCGCTGAATCCAGCGTCATCGGCTCCAAAAGGCAGAGATCCAGCAGCAGAAGAGCGCAGGTCTCGGCTCCCAGCTCTCCTGCCTCCGTCTTCTCAAGAGGATTATTGGGAAGAGGGGAAGGAAAAATTGCAATGGGGAAAAAAGTAGGACAAATAAATCCAATGGGAAGGAAAAGTCAAGACACGAGGGAAAGGGGAAAGTAATTGGGAGAGAAGTTTCACTGTCAACACTAACATAGAGATACTTAAAATAATCTGAGATACATAAACCAGGGGGACAAAAACTCTTAGCATTAAACCTGCCTCCACCAAAATTAAGTTATTAATTTTGACTTCTCCCCCCAGTTCTCCAAACTTTCCATTTATAAACTGGTACCAGCGAGAAAGATTTGTACAAGGG